CCCCCGCGCCGCACCAGGGAAACAGGAGGGCCGCCTGGGAGCAAGGCAGGAAGAAGGGGCACCGCCGGGCCGGGGCAGATTCAGTTCCCGGGGAACGGCAGGCAGAGACCGCCTGAGCCGAGCCCCACCCTTAAGGGCCCCGAGAGCTCAGGGCCTGCAGCTTGTGTGGCTAATCGGGTTGGGTAATAACACCACAGGGCTCCCAGCTGAATCACACTTGTCTTCATTAGGAGCAGGTATGTCCAAGACAGGGGTGAAGGGAGATTATAGGTTAATTAATTCACACAAAAACTGTGATTCACAGGCAATCTCTCCTGGAAATACAGACACAACTGAACATCTACTTCTTCGTGTGGAACATTCGCCAGAATTACTGCAGCTGTGCATATGTCAGCCGTCTCTTTTGGCCACTGTTTTATTGTTAAGCGCCTTGTGACGGTGAAGATGCTACATAAAATAAAGATAATTACAGTAATAAACCTCAGTCTTTCGACACCGTTTTATAAGCCCGGAGCAGCCACTAAAACGGGGATGGAGATTACACCTCTGGTGATATAGGACCAAAAACGGCTGAAAAAACTGAGTACAGTACGTGACAGCCCACTTGACGGTTTCTCAAAACCTGCACATGATAATACTATATGGTATTCAATTACTCCTCCATCGATCCCTGATCCATTAGACCCTAGGCAGTCTTTTTCAACGCGAATCCCCCCAGGGATAGGACAGGACAGATATCTGCAGCCATGATCTTATGGGGGGGGTGCTCTTTTTCCTGCTCTCAATAAAAGATCAATAAGAGCGCAATCGGCTCACGGAGGGAGGGAGGTGAACCCGCAAATCGCCAACACGGACCAGAAACAAACTAGCGCCGCTGCAGGTCATCACGGCATCACGCCTTTTCAAAACACAGTTTACAAGTTATTTTGGCTAAAAAGCGGATTCTGCCCCCACCGTTCTTGAAGGTTTGAAGGAGTAAGAACACAGTGACAACGAGAGATGCCCACAGTGTCGGGTCCAGAAAGAACATGTTTTCAAAACCAGTGCACTGAGGCCACCTCACCCCGCTCCTGTGCACACGGACGGAAATTATTCACCCATCACATACAACTAGCGTTAACATCACTTGGAGCAAAATATATATATATAAACATACGTGCTAGCCCCTATCAAGTTATTCCTCGATTGCACCGACACTGCTAATTTAGAGAAAGAAAATTAATTTAGAACTTATTTATTAGGGGGGGTTACCATTACCTGTCGTCCCAAGGCATGGCCATCTGACAGCCTAGTATTCGCACATAAACAATGCAAATCAGACTCCACAAATGTGGACTGAACGCCGTCACGCCATCTCCTTAGTACCACGCACGTCAGCTGCCGTCAGGAAAGCAAACGGGACGCACGGGTGAAGGGAAAGGTAACAGCGCCCTCTGCTGAGCGGGAGGAGTAGGCGCACCCCGAGGTGGGCCGGACTCCTGCGCCTGTTTTTTTAGGAATCGATAGATGAGACTTTATTGATCCCGAAGGGAAATTGATGGATTACAGCAGTCCAGCCCAAGACGAGCAAAAAAAACCAAAAAAAAAAACAGATATCAGAACAAACGAAAAATTAAAATACGTACAAGAATACAAAATAAATAAATAAGATAAATACATAGGTGTGTGCAAAATATGCTCATATAGTCACTGTAAAAACAATATGTGCAAAATGTGCATAGGTATATACAGATTGAGTGTCCAAAATAAAGTACAATGGAGCAACATGCTGTCCATAGACGAGCAAATGGAGGGCTAACTGAATGCTGCGTTTTGCACAATTACATTAAAAATTAAATACCAACAGCGGCCCGTTGCAGAAACCAAGATTTTCTTTCCTTACACATTAAACTCCAACGTACTCAAATACATGTGACTAAGACGCGCGTCGCCTCTTTTTCGTCCCTTATCTGGGGGACGTTTAACAGCTTCTCCCGGAGACGACTGAGCGCTGCCGTGTTCCTTCGGGATGAGAAATCTACAGTATTCCTGACAGAGGGCGCCCTCAAGCACTAGGGCGGCTGCTTACGTTTAACGCTCAAGTTACACGTTGTACGAGGGCTATCGAAACAGATCCAGACAATTCGCCCGGCTGGTGTGTGTGAATTTCGTAAACCTAACAAAACCAAAAAAGAAAAGAACATTTCATTGCTATTTACTGTGAATGCAGCCGATGGGGTCGTGCGTCTTTATTCGTACTTTGATTAGTTTCGTCATATACCCTCGTTGTAGTACTAACAACTCTGGAAGTCTGAAACACAACTGTGACGCACTCAGTTTTATGTTTTAGGTAAAGTTCTGTGCATTTTTCGGAAAGTCAGCTGTTCTGTTGCCTGTTCTCTCCTTCGGTGTGAAACCTCCCACTGCTGAAAAGCTCTTTCAGAAACCCGAAATTCAAGTCGGTAGTGCTAACTACTGTACTTCCCTAAAGATAGTGCGCAGCGTGATTTCGAGTCGGCGTGTGAAAAGTTAACGTTTTACGCCTTTTCCTTAAGCGTAAGAAAAGCTTTACGGTTACTGCACTTTGAACCCGTTTTTGGTATTCATTTTCCCTCGAATGCCAGTATAGGAGAACATTTACTTCTGTGGAGCGTGCCCGGTCGAGTATCGGGATCCTAGCGCGCCGGACGGACTCCCATAGTGTCTGAGCGCCGCTTTCCTGTTGAAATGTCGGGGCTCCCCGTGCTGATCGGCGGTTCGGAGGTGGATGAGCTGCTGCGGTACCAGGACCTGGTGCCGCGTCTGGAGGCGGCTCTGGGCCAGTTTTCCAGCCGCACCGGGGAGGTGGTGCAGCCGGTGCGCACGATTCTTCCCCTGGAGAAGTACAGCGGGTAACCTCGGCCATCGCACCTGTTTATTTCTTACTTTATTCGTAGCCAGCATTTCATCTCGGGGTGTTATTGTAATCCTGATAACGCAGAATGAGCCAACAACAACAACAACAAAAAAGTTTTTTGAAGGGAGTAACTTGAAGCGAAGAAACGCGCGACTTTTGTGATTATGAATGTCGGCCCAAAGTCAGACCCACATTTGTATTTTTTTTTTCAAAACGTCTTTCAATAAAAATCAGGACAGTAACAATAGCGACCCCCTCTGCATCTTTACAACCTGCTGCCCACCTCGTCCAAAAGCTGCGTGCGGATCTGTTCTATAAAACGTCTTTATCTCCCGGCGTGCAGGTATTTAGGGGTGATGCCCGCCTACATCCCGCAGGATGATGTTTTGGCCACCAAGATGGTGTCGTTCTACCAGCGGGGTGAGGGCTCCTCCATGCCCAACCACCAGGCCACAGTGCTGCTGCTCGACCCGGAGCGGGGCGCCCTGCAGGCGGTGAGCGCGTGTCTGAGTTCGGCCTTCCCAGTGCTCCGCTGTGCTGGGCTCGGGGCCGGCCTGGATGAAACCGGAGCGAGGGCAGCGAGGCTCAGCCCGTCCCCAGGCACTCTTCTCCCACCCTGACACGTGTCCCCCCCCCCCGTACCCCTTTCCACCTCTCGGGGTGCGGCCTGCTGCGCCCCGGAGGGCGGGAGCGGAGACTCATTCCCGCGTGTCCCGCAGGTCCTGGATGGGAAGGCCATCACGGACAAGAGGACGGCGGCCGTGTCCGCGATCGCGACCAAGGTAAGGGGCCCGCTCGCCCGGCTGCGGTTCCGGAACCCGGGCCCGGGGAGGGCCGGTGGGGCAGACGGCCGCTCGGGGGGCCCGCTTGGCTCCTGAAACGCCCCGCCGGCAGGGTTGCCGCGTCCGATGGCCCCCGGGCCCGTTGGTCCAGGCGGCTCGGGACCCTCCCTCGAGCTCGCCCCCCGGCCTGAGGGTCCCTCTCGCCCGTGTCCCCGCAGCTCCTGAAGCCGGCCCGGGCCGACGTGCTGTGCCTGCTGGGCGCGGGGGACCAGGCGCTCAGCCACTACGAGGCCCTCACCCAGATGTTCCCCTTCAAAGAGGTGAGGCGGGACGGGCGCCGCGCCGCGCGGACAAGCGCCGTCGCCCCGGGCGCCCT